TACCTATATTTTTGTATTGCAGATCTATTTGCCAGGTTCTTTAAATGTTGTTTTTTTTTTGCCTATATTCTAATGTTTTGTGTTTTTTTTGTGTTTTTGGAAACCTCCTGGAAAGAAGATGTTGGTGTTCTAGTTCTACATTGTGGCGGAGACGTGAGGATGTGGATAGATGTGTATCATTGGTTGGAAACTGGCATGATGGAGAAATTAGGTATTTAACAATATTATACTTTAAGGATTTTTTGTAACCGTTTATTTGTGCCTGCAAAGTATCAATTATTTACAAGATAAAAAAGTTCAGCTAGTTCAACAAACAGTTAATAGGAATTGTCTATTGGAGATAGTCTTTTAGCTAGCTAGACTGGAAGGTAAGTGGTTCTACTAGGCATGAACTTGCCCCACCCTGAAACTCTTTTGACGGCCTTTATCTGCCATATAATAAAGCATGGGTCATCATATGATATAAAACCAATGAAATATTGATAATTACCTGCTTATTTGAAAAGTAATTTGTAAAGACATGATAATTATTAACATTATAAGATTAGAATGTTATTTTGTAAACACATGGGTGACTAGGAAAATAATAGGTATTGGTACATTTTCTTTGATTCTTTTTATTCTGTTTTACTTGTGTGTCTTCTTTTAAGCCTTGTGAATTAGAATGTTATTTTGTAAACCCTGGTGATTTTTCAGACCATGGAGGAGTGATGAAGTGGAAGTGGACAAGACTATCAGTTCTTCGAGAGTTCCAGTGCCTATATACTCGCAAGAAGGATATGGTATGGAATAGCTTAAAGTACATCTATGTGCTGGCAGATTTGTACAACAAGAAGTTGTTCCAGTGTGAGGAGAGATGCTTGACATAAGGTAAACCTTGCTCTTTGATGCTATAGTAAATCATAATGAGGATAATGAATCATAATAAAATCAAAATACAAGTTTGGTTGAAATCCTGTGCAATTTGAGCCAAATGAATATAGAGGTGAATATCCTGTCGGACATTTTGGAGACTTGGGTTCCATTCCCTATCTATGTTTACTTACAAAATACAATTTTGTTATATTACTTATGAATAAAGTATACATTTGATAGGCATTGTCAGTTGTAGTTGTCTAACAGGCTAACTTTTGGTATGTTGGTGGTTCTGTAACTTTTTGTGTTGCCTCTACAGAGTAGTGGTGACATATAGGGATCACTTCTCCGTCGTCTGTCTGTCCGTGCAAAACACATGGGTGACTAGGAAAATAATAGGTATTGGTACATTTTCTTTGATTCTTTTTATTCTGTTTTACTTGTGTGTCTTCTTTTAAGCCTTGTGAATTAGAATGTTATTTTGTAAACCCTGGTGATTTTTCAGACCATGGAGGAGTGATGAAGTAGAAGTGGACAAGACTATCAGTTCTTCGAGAGTTCCAGTGCCTATATACTCGCAAGAAGGATATGGTATGGAAAAGCTTTATGTAAATTATCCCTGTACCCCCTGTAGTTAGTAATGTGTTGAGTTGAAGTGATTGTGGAGGGTTGTTGTAATAAAATGTGATTCTGGCCAGGCAACGTGATGCGCCCGCGGTTTTTATTTTATACACTCGCGATTTATAAAAAAAATCTTTATGTAAGTTATCCCTGTACCCCCTGTAGTTAGTAATGTGTTGAGTTGAAGTTATTGTTGATGGTTGTTATAAAATGTGATTCTGGGCAGACTACGTGATGTGCCCACGGTTTTTTGATATACTCGCGATTTATAAAAAATCTTTATATAAGTTATCCCTGTACCCCCTGTAGTTAGTTATGTGTTGAGTTGAAGTTATTGTTGATGGTTGTTATAAAATGTGATTTTGGCCAGATTACGTGATGCGCCCGCGGTTTTTTGATATACTCACGATTTATAAAAAATCTTTATATACGTTATCCCTGAACCCCTGTAGTTATGTGTTGAGTTTAAGTGATTGTTGATGGTTGTTGTTATAAAATGTGATTCTGGCCAGACTACGTGATGCGCCCGCGATTTTTTTGATATACTCGCGTTTTTTTTAAAAAAAAATATGTAAGTTATCCCTGTACCCCCTGTAGTTAGTAATGTGTTGAGTTGAAGTGATTGTTGATGGTTGTTGTTATAAAATGTGATTTTGGCCAGACTACGTGATGCGCGCGCGTTTTTTTGATATACTTACGATTTACAAAAAAAAATCTTTATATACGTTATCCCTGAACCCCTGTAGTTATGTTTTGAGTTGAAGTTATTGTTGATGGTTGTTGTAATAAAATGTGATTCTGGCCAGGCTACGTGATCCGCCCGCGGTTTTTTGATATACTCGCGATTTATAAAAAATCTTTATGTAAGTTATCCCTGTAGTTAGTAATGTGTTGAGTTGAAGTTATTGTTGATGGTTGTTATAAAATGTGATTCTGGCCAGGCTACGTGATGCGCCCGCAGTTTTTTGATATACTTATACTCGCGTATTGTATTTGACTTGTGTTTTTAGAATTTGTGTACTATGATTATGTTTGATATGTTTAATTATGTATTTGTTTGCTCTAATACCTATAATTTTGTATTGCAGATCTATTTGCCAGGTTCTTTAAATGTTTTTTTTTTGCCTATATTCTAATGTTTTGTGTTGTTTTTTTTGTCTTTTTGGAAACCTCCTGGAAAGAAGATGTTGGTGTTCTAGTTCTACATTGTGGCGGAGACGTGAGGATGTGGATGGATGTGTATCATTGGTTGAAAACTAGCATGATGGAGAAATTAGGTATTTTACAATATTATACTTTAAGGATTTTTTTTGTAACCGTTTATTTGTGTCTGAATAGTATCATCTATTTAAGAGATAAAAAAAATTCAGCTATTTCAACAAACAGTTGATAGAAATTGTCTATTGGAGATAGTCTTTTAGCTAGCTAGACTGGAAGGTAAGTGGTTCTACTAGGCATGAACTTGCCCCACCCTGAAACTCTTTTGACGCCTTTATCTGCCATATAATAAAGTATGGGTCATCATATGATATAAAACCAATGAAATATTGATAATAACTTGCTTATTTGAAAAGTAATTTGTAAAGACATGATAATTATTAACATTATAAGATTAGAATGTTATTTTGTAAACACATGGGTGACTAGGAAAATAATAGGTATTGGTACATTTTCTTTGATTCTTTTTATTCTGTTTTACTTGTGTGTCTTATTTTAAGCCTTGTGAATTAGAATGTTATTTTGTAAACCCTGGTAATTTTTCAGACCATGGAGGAGTGATGAAGTGGAAGTGGACAAGACTATCAGTTCTTCGAGAGTTCCAGTGCCTATATACTCGCAAGAAGGATATGATATGGAATAGCTTAAAGTACATCTATGTGCTGGCAGATTTGTACAACAAGAAGTTGTTCCAGTGTGAGGAGAGATGCATGACAAAAGGTAAACCTTGCTCTTTGATGCTATTGTAAATCATAATGAGGATAATGAATCATAATAAAATCAAAATACAAATTTGGTTGAAATCCTGTGCAATTTAAACCAAATGAATATAGAGGTGAATATCCTGTCAGACATTTTGGAGACTTGGGTTCCATTCCCTATCTATGTTTACTTACAAAATACAATTTTGTTATATTACTTATGAATAAAGTATACATTTGATAGGCATTGTCAGTTGTAGTTGTCTAACAGGCGAACTTTTGGTATGTTGGTGGTTCTGTAACTTTTTGTGTTGCCTCTACAGAGTAGTGGTGACATATAGGGATCACTTCTCCGTCGTCTGTCTGTCCGTGCAAAACACATGGGTGACTAGGAAAATAATAGGTATTGGTACATTTTCTTTGATTCTTTTTATTCTTTTTTACTTGTGTGTCTTCGTTTAAGCCTGGTGAATTAGAATGTTATTTTGTATCCCCTGGATTCAGTGTGGAGAGAGATGGACACGGTCAGTATGCAATTTGATAGGAATTATCTATATTAGCTAGTCTATAACTATGTAGACTAGAATATCTGTGGTTCTACCCTAAATTTTCCCTGCCCTTGTCTGTCCATTTTGGGGCATATTTTTTCTGCCAATAAAGGTGGAGAGTCGCCATATGGCTTGAGAACCAACAAAACAAAAGTGATGTGTTTATTTAAAAAGACTGTTCAACATATATGATTGGAATGTTGTTTTGTTAACCCCAGTGAAATTTCAGTTAATCTTAAGACCAAGGAGGCAGATTTGCAAGAATGGCATGAAACATGGTGATGATGGATGGACGTGTGGATCGTTAAAGCCCAACAGTGACAGAGTATTGGAGTACTTGACGTGCATTGTGAAAGTTGATCGAGACTATCAATTCTTCGAGAGTCCCAGTGCCTATATACTCGCAAGAAGGATATGGTATGAAATACAGCTTGGTACACATCTGTGCTGGTAGATTTGTACATTTGGAAGTTGTTTCAGTGTGGAGAGAGATGGACACGGTGTATTGTACGGTAAACCTTGCTCTTTGATTTCATTGGTAAATCTATTTTAGCTAGTCTACAACTAGGTAAAGCTAGTCTATAACTAGGTAAAGCTGGAACGTCGCCATATGACCTATACTGTGTCGGAACGTCGCCATATGACCTATACTGTGTCGGAACGTCGCCATATGACCTATACTGTGTATATGACCTATACTGTGTCGGTGTGACGTAAAGTCCATTCAAACAAACAAACAAAACCTGCCCTTGTCTGTCCGTTTTGGGAAATATTTTTTCTGCCAATAAAGGTGGGGAGATGTCATATGACTTAAGAACCAACAAAACAAATGTGATTTGTTTAGTTAAAAAGACTTTGTTCAACATATAATATATGATTTGAATGTTTTTTGTTAACCCCAGTGAAATTTCAGTTAATCTTAAGACCAAGGAGGCAGATTTGCAAGAATGGCATGAAACATGGTGATGATGGATGGACGTGTGGATCGTTAAAGCCCAACAGTGACAGAGTATTGGAGTACTTGACGTGCATTGTGAAAGTTGATCGATACTATCAATTCTTCGAGAGTCCCAGTGCCTATATACTCGCAAGAAGGATATGGTATGAAATACAGCTTGGTACACATCTGTGCTGGTAGATTTGTACATTTGGAAGTTGTTTCAGTGTGGAGAGAGATGGACACGGTGTATTGTACGGTAAACCTTGCTCTTTGATTTCATTGGTAAATCTATAAATATCTATTTTCGCTAGTCTACAACTAGGTAAAGCTAGTCTATAACTAGATAAAGCTGGAACGTTGCCATATGACCTTTACTGTGTCGGAACGTCGCCATATGACCTATACTGTGTCGGTGTGACGTAAAGCCCAATCAAACAAACAAACAATACCTGCCCTTGTCTGTCCATTTTGGGGAATATTTTTTCTGCCAATAAAGGTGGAGAGATGTCATATGACTTAAGAAGCACTTTAACAAATGTGATTTGTTGACAAATGAGATTGGAATGTTGTTTTGTTAACCCCAGTGATCTTTCAGTTAATCTTAAGACCAAAGAATGGCATGAAACATGGTGTTGATGGATGGATGTGTGATGAGATTGGAATGTTGTTTCGTTAAGGCAAGGCAAGTACAGAACAGAAAGGTAAAATTATTAAAAAGATGTTATATTGTATTTATAATAGGGGAATGATATTATGAACAACATAATATGTTAGATGAAATTGAAATTGTGTATATGAAAGTTGAGAGTAAACATTATTGAAAGTAACATTGTAAATTGTGAAATGATCCCTGGTGGATGACATGAAGTCATTAATGAAAACTGGACATGGAAGTTTACTGCAGTGAAAATTAGTGAAAAATGAAATGGAAAGTATCTGTTGAAATATGAAAGAAATGAATTGAATCAGCAATAGGAAAATACGAAAAGTGAAAGTGAAAATGAATGAAAATAAATTGAAAAAGGAAGGAATGCATGAAAATTTGAATTTTCAAAAAAATTGAGAACAATAATGTAAATAATATAGATATTATGAAGAGTTGAATGAAGAAATTTGAAAGTGAAAATATAAAGATAGTGAAAAATGGAAAGTATCTGTTGAAATATGAATGAAATATAAATGAAGAGCACAAGAGATCAGCAATAACAAAAGGAAATGTGAAAGTGAAAAATGAATGAAAATAAATTGAAAAAGGAGGAATGCATGGAAATTTGAATTTTCAAAATATTGAATCGGCTTCAAAGAAATGAAAAAGGAGAACAATAATATAGGAATTTATGAATGAAATTTGAAAGTGAAATGAGTTCATAACGAAATAAAAAATGAATGAATAATGTAATGGAAGATAATTTGGTGGTGCAAAGATCAGACATGTGAAAATATAAATGAAATAGATTTGAAACAATTGGCTTTTCTTGACTGTAGAAAGTCAATGATTGTTGATTGTCTGCTCCTCCCATTCATAGTTCTACCATGATGTGGAAGTGCAGACAATGCAGTTATTCTAATTGATTGTTTTTCTATTTCAGCTCAATTTTATATTGACCTTTGACTTGACCTTAATCAATCTGCAAGTCCTTACCAACCTGACCACCTCATTTGATGATCATAAGCCATGGCTTTCCCTAGTTGACCAATCAACTTTTTTAACTACTTGGCATAATTAACGTAAAGGCCCAATCTTTGACCAAAACTTTCTCCGGTTATTGGTCAGACATGGATATTGGATATTGAAGCTCTGATTATGGAATGGTGGGGGATGTGTAGCAAAACCAAAACGCGTGACTATCTAAACCATATCCTGTACAGTGACAGACTTACCATTCTTCAGAGCTTCAATCAAAGGTTAATAATTTGAAAAACTAGCTAAACGCCATTTTCCGGTACTTTCTGTACATAGCTCTCGGGAATTCAATGAAACGTTGTATAATAATGTAACGATCTGTATTTTTTTGGCCTTTTCGGGATTGAATAGAGGATATTTGTTTAGTTCAGTGTAAGATCGGAATATATTTCACCGAGTGAGCACCAAAAGGTATATTTCACGAGTGGCGCAGCCACGAGTGAAATATGAACTTTTGGTGTTCACAAGGTGAAATATATTTCAATCTTACATTAAACTAAACAAATTTTCTTTTTATTATATGCAAAGAAACGTTTTAAAAAGACATTTAACCTAATACTAAATGGAAAGCGCGCCAAATAATAATATAACGTCATTTACGACGTCACGTCATTAAGTTGGTTCTCAGTACTGTGCACGCTGGTATTTCGTGAAATTATCAAAGTGGTAATTTCACTGTTTCAAACAGTGAAATTACCATTTTTATATCACTGATATATTTCTATAAACCACCGAAAAGCATGTAATAAAGTGAAATAAAATGATTATTTCATTGTTAGATCTTGTTATTAATAATTCCATGAAAGAAAATGTGATTTTCTCAAATAGTGATTTTATAGCTAAACAAAATCACTGTTTGGAGTTCGGATGTGATGAATTATATCACAAGGTCATAGCCCGAGTGACATAATGATGCACATCTTAATGACAAACAATTATTTTATCAAGCGATAAAATCACTGATTTGGATAATTATTTTATCAAGCGATAAAATCACTGATTTGGATATCTTATTTCAATTTTAACACATCAACAAATAAATGTGTAAAATTTGCGATAGATAAACGGTGAAATCTTGTGGTATGAAAATTATCATATTTCACTCGTAGCTACCACCACTCGTGAAATTTTTCATTTTCATACCACTCCATGAAAATAAATCATGTATTTATAGAAAAAACTTGAATATCGTCTATATACTTCATTAGGTGTAATTCCCAAGATCTTCATATGTAAAGTACTGGAAAATGATGTGCAGCTAGGTTTTCGAAAAGGTCAATCGCTACACTTCTCCCAATGCTGCCTAGTTGTAAAACAGCACACTTCCAGATTCATATTTAAATAAAATTAATTATATGTTGCATAATTAAGTTAAATATTTAGATTTGAAGTTCAGAAAACTTTATAAAATTTACAAAGCCATAAGTAAGACTTTTATTTATTTCCTATTATGTATTAAAATATTTAGTACCTGCGTAATATTATTTTGTTAATAAGTGGGTAGAATTAATATAACAATATTTTTAAATATTTGTAATAAGCTAATTTTGAATTGAATGGAAGAAGTATGCATATCTTTTTTTTTACTTTTCCTAAATTTGGATTGATTTTTGAAGAAATTTAAATATCTGGATGTGTGCAGTTTTAACTTCTAGCATGTCCCAAGCCATGGTAAAAGCAGAGGGGGAGAAATGAATCTTGTATTTGTATTATCAATGTTATTTTACATATCACTAATTTTTTTTTACATTTTTGATTGCATTGTTCGCCATTTTCTTGATGTCTGAAGTGATAGAGAATAATTAATAGGTTGGTGCCTTGGATCTAGCGAGGCGGAGGAATTTTTTTGGTGAGCCTTTGGCCAGATAGTTTAAGTTCTCCATCCATAGCACCAATCATTCTATTTATCCTGTTATCGATTTTTTTTATAAAAGAGTTTCATTTAGAACAGAGTTAAATTGTAATGTGTTTTTGAAAGTTTTGGCCTGTGCGCAGTAAAAAAGTAGTTCTTATTATTCTGAAATATTTAACAAGCAAAAATGTCAAACCAGTCTTTTTTAGTGATTTTTAGTCATTTTTACTTGTTTTGCCGCGTAACGTCATGCGTTCTTTTTCATGACGTCATCATATGATGTCACAGTACCAATGTTGAAATTTAGTTCCGTAAAATTTCTCGAATTTGTTACATTTTAACACAATGTATGCAGTTATTTACTTGCTTCTCCTATAGAAGCAAAATTTACGTACATGACAGAATTTATTCCTGTTGATAATTCAATTTAGTGTTGTTTTTTCATTCATCATAACAGCACATGCCTTAGATTCGTAAAATAAGAACCAATTGTCAATATTTTTCAAAATCTTTTAGAAATATGTAATCCGGATGATAAAAAAAACATTTTAAGTGTGCTTTTTAAAAAAATTCTTATGTGCTAAATAGTTGAAATGATTCTGAGAAATCCTTTATAAAAGTAAGGAATTTTTAGGATAAAATTGTGAATTTTGGCCAGTTTTGTTTTTTTAAATAGACCTATATTTGACCCTTACCTATATTTGGCTATTTAAAAACTATATATAGATGCAAAAAAGTAGGAAGAATGTTAATCTTTTAAATAACAAGCCATGGTTAGTAAGTTTTAAGCTCTTGTAGTTTAATTTTTAAAATGCCTCTTTTATTGTATCACATACATAAGAGGAGTTCTGAGTTCAAATCTCAGTGGGAGCACTTATTTGCTGATTCATGGTTTGTAAAATTAAAACAGGGCTGTAAATTTTATGTATATATTAAAGTTATGCTTTTATAAGTCATTGTTTTTATAAATCATTGTTTTTATTTGACATTTATTAAATCAAGGTTTTTGAAACTTGATAAGAAATTTGACAGTATGATTTTAAAAACTATATGATTTTAAAATTGTGCAACTATATTTTTTGCTGTACCTCAAATCATAATTCTCTTTTATTCCCGAGACTAAAGAGTATACAGTTGTTGATCCAGATGGTGTTCAATAGTGCCTTAGCTTTACAGGTACCTAGAATGCCCTTTTCATAGAGAATGTTAATTTCCAGGTCAAGATATTGGGCAGTAGACTTCATTGGCTTATCTCCTTTTCCTAGTCTTTTAAGTGACAACAACAACGAGGATACCGGAAGTTCAAAGTGAAAGTACATTCAGGAGAGACAGATATTTCATGGTATTGTTTAGATTTCGTCTAAGTGCAAGTATTTTGTTAATTAAACATTGATACAATGTGTAGAAAAATAGTGTTTCTATTGATCATATTAATGCAAAGACATGTCTAATTCGCCTAAGTATTAATCAAAATCAATTATTTATTGTGAAATAGTGTCGACAATATAAGCGGCAGATTTATAGCAAATTAAAGGTACTTTCAGGACTTACCATTTTACATCTAGTTATATCAAAAACAAGCAAAGAATGTCATCTTAAACACCGAACATTATACGCTGTCCATAAAAAAGATGCAATTAAACACATAGCATATTAAAACATGTGAGTTTAATGGTTCAGAAAGGAACACATGAAGTTGCGATTACATGATAGTGCATTCAGTAATCATAATGCATGATTGTATTCAGCAATACGTAGGTTTCCATTGTCATAAAGAAGTATGGAAGCAAGCGTAATGTAAGTCCAAATATCATCAAGCAAGATGGAATAAATGCACTAATTCTGTTCCATAGTTAAAGACTTCTTACAAGTCCGATCGTTTTGAATGAACCCGCCCACAACCAGTGAAGTTATTTTGTGAACATTAGTCAAAATGTAAACCGCAACTCTTGTAGTTCTGGCTTCCATAACTTTATAATTATGTCGCTGTTATTTTGACGTTGTGCAGCAGGTCTAGCAGTACTATAAAACCTGTTCGCTGAAATCTCTTTAGCTACAACTCTTGCGGAATAAAACGAATTAACAAATTAAAACAAATTAATGGTTGTCTCCCTTATATCACCAAAGTGGTGTTGCAAGAACGTGTTGCCTACCACATTTGCTTTTTGTTATATACTTATCAATTGTATAATATTTTACAATATTTGATGCAATAAAATATGTTTTAACTAAAAAAGGGGGGGGGGTAAATCGCTGTACATAGGTATACTTGTTGGGTTTGGATGCTTGAGTTGGGCTTGAGTTGGGCTTGGGCTTGAGTTGGGTTTTACCGAAATTGTATGCATGAAAGCATGCGTAATATTTTGAACAGTTAGAATTATTTAAAAGAACTTTGTTAAGGCTTTTTTACAATTTTATTAGTTTTTTATCTCAATTTTCAAACAAAATGTCCGATATGAACCCGCCCAAAACCACGTACATTGTAATTTTCTGTAAGTACATGTAAATTATAGTACGGTATCTGCCAAAACTTATAAGTTATGTTATAGTTTTATCAGCTAGGGTCTTTCCTGGTTTTAGGTAATCTTAGTATGCTTATAACCAAACCATTTTACAATACATACAATGCAGCTTTACAATGTACTTTTACAGTAGAAATGCTTAAATTCATAGTTTTATTTAATGCATTGTAATTATATATACTTATATATGATTTTACTCCCAAAAACACTCAGATGTTATAACGTGTGTTCTTCTTGCAAGTTGTCAGAACAGTATCAAATGTACATGCAACTCTTACGGAATAAAAAGAAATCAAATTAAAGGTTGTTTCCCTTATGTCATCAAATTCTTACCTGTAAATTATCCTGTTGTTTTGGGCTTAGTTTTGGTTAGATGGTTGAGTTTGGGTTCATGTGGTTTGAGTTCAGCTCAGTCAGATATTGTATGACTGTATTTTACATGTATACTTTCCATGGAACTGAACTTCAAATGAGAAATCTGTTGAATTCTCAAATACTTTAGTGGTACATTATATAATACCCCAGCCTATACGTGCTATGTATATACAAACATGTATATTCAACAAGTTACCATGATATACATAAATGTTAAGCATTTCATATAACATTTCAAAAAAAGTGATATTTAAAAAAATAACATATTCGAGACAAATGTTTATATAATC